ATGTGTCATAACAAACACTAACTTCATTGTTTTTCACAAGGTTGCTTGTTGGGCTATTGAACAGAAAAGCACAGATAAAATGGAAAATGCAATGTCTGAAATAGGTTAGTAAATAGAAAACTGAAAACTTATTAATCATAAATTCTCCTTTATTATAAAATGAATTGGTTCAATATCAAAATTCCATCTTGTATTATTTGGGCAGGTAAACAAATCTCACCATTTCTGTAATGGTTAATGGTCTCATTTTTGTTTCAGGAGTGGCTTTTAACTTTTATGAAAGTCAAGATCAGTCAAGTGGAAGGACATCAACAAAATGGACTTCTCTAGACTGTAAGTATTCATAAATAACAAAGTTGACAATGAATCTTAAATTGAAAAACAAAAAACTCTTAACATAATTAACAAAAAGAGAATGATCAGACTATTTTACAAAATTGAAAATTTACAAAACAAAATACATAAATCTATGTTTTATTCTCTGTTGGCCTTGGTTGATATTGCACTGTAATATGTGCATCATATAGCAATATCTTTTCAATATAATATTACAAATTATTAATAAGTAACATGTATGCATTTGATGTCTATTAAGACTGCAATTTATATACAGGTGATGATCTGGAAACAGTCATAAAGAAACTGGATCTTAGTCAAGTTTTGAGAAATATGGCAGATAAAAGTAAAACTAGTGCAGTAGATACTTTGACTAAAATGCAGCTAGTGGCTGCCTGCCAAAAGTATGGTCTCCGCACTAAAGGAAACAAAGATGCACTTAGGGTTATTCTGAAAGAATACCTACATGAAAACAAAATTCCTTTCCAGGTATAGAGTAAAAATTTTCATACTAGTGCTTATAGTTTGTACAATTTTGTTCAAAGTGTTCCAAGGAAATACCAGTAATGAGTGCACTTCACCAGTGCAATGTACAAATGTATGTGATGCACTTTTATTTATAATTATATATTTCTGTAAGGTGTCGTCCATTCAGACCTTTGAAGTCAAGTCTCTCGATGTCAACAATTTACAGTCTGTATGGAGAGATTTTGAAGTCCTGGCTGATGCTCTGAAAGCAGACCCTAGTTCTCCCCAATATTTAGAGCCTGAMAGCTTTAAATTGAATGCTCTCAAATGGGTCAAAGCATTTAGGACAGCTACTTTTGATGAAGTAAGTATTCTTTTGTAACTCCTATTGTAACTGAGTGAAGTTTGAAAGTTCCAGGTCTTCCCAATATCCACATCAGTTTTGTAGACATGCAGGCATGACATGACATGTAGGAGATGCGAGGCAGTCACTGACTCAGATGGTTGTATCGCTGACCAGCACTCAAACAATTGAGCCAACCTACAGCTGTAGTTGTGCTTGCAGTGAATGCCAAGTAGTAATTACTGAAAGGAAATAACATAAATTAATTATAGAATGTATGACTCATTTTATGAGAACATTTCTGACTTAATAATTTCAATTTATTTTTAGGATGTGATCCCATACATCCATGGTAAGTATACATACATATATTAAAGCAGGACAAGTAGAGAAGTTTTAATTTAAGTGGAATAGTATTGTTTCAATCCTTGTCATTAGGGATATAATAAATTTTATATTTTTAGTATTGGTATATCACATCCCACAATTCTTGGAGAAATATCAAACTCTTCATCACTTCAACTGTCAGACTGTTGAGAAGGTATTGATAACAACCATAATCATTCTACTGCTGCACATGATACAGGATTTGCAACCTAGCCATTCTTAATAAAAGGAAATGAAATTAAAGTGC